TCACATACAGAAAAGTGAGAATTGACTGTTTCTGAAATTAAATGAGAATATTCAGAATTCTCATATCTACAGGGATGCAAGGAAATAGAAAAAAACTCTAATTGATTTTTTGTCCATAGTGTATCTTACTGTCTAACTTTTGTTCCATCTTTAAATGAGATACACCAATAATATTTCATAAAACTTTTACAATAAATGAACTACTTTGGGGGCATAGTTACTTATATGCTATGTGGTCATTGAGATAGCCTACATTTTTTTAAATAACTATTCTAGTAAGTTAATACTATTTGGACATCAATCATGCATTTTTTTCCATTGGAACAATGAAGAAAATATTTTCTGTATTAATTCAAAATTAAATATTTGAAAAATTGCTCAAGTTTAGCCATATAATAACCAGAAGATGTGTTATCTGACGTAGTACTTTTAGAAAAAAAAATTTCAAAACAGATTTGCAAATGAAAATATTTTCTGTATTTATCTAAAATTAAATATCTGAAAAATTGCTCAAGTTTTGCCATATAATAACCAGAAGATGTGTTATCTGAAGTAGCACTTTCAGAAAAAAATTTCAAAACAGTCTTGCAAATGAAAACAAAGAATATTATCAAACCTCTGCTAAAAAATTAATTATAGCTTTTAAAACTGTGTAAGCAAAAACAGTGGTCAGGCCTCAGTGTTTCTGACTCTACCCACAGAGTCTCAGTGAGTTCACAGAAAGGCTTGGTGTAGGAAAGGGGCCAGCCGCAAAGAACAACCCGGCCTCCGCCCTTGCCCTCCAGGCTGTGTTGCTAGCAGAGCCGCGCACTTGGGTCTGCTCCTCCCTGCCCCAGACACAGAGGGGCAAGAGCGACCGAAGAGGGCCGCACAGCTTCCCAGGGCCACTATGACTGTGGATGAGTCTATGTGATTCTGGAAATGAGGGCCAGGTGCATTTAAAATCACCATAAATATCTGTTATAACATTTAACAAAATTTTCAAATAATATTTTTTCCTTTCATCTTCCTTGGTCTTTTGTTTTTCTAAAATTGATCCAGAGCTCAGATGTGGCAGAAGGACACTGTCCTTCCCGTAATTAACGCCCAGCAATGTTAACGTCATCTTCACCCCACTCTGCATTCACTCATTTTCTTTTGTATTTCTGTATTCAGTATACAAATAGATTTTTATTTTAGTATTTGTCATATATTGTATTATGATAAAATATATTATAAAATAGTCATGAAATATATTCCATAGCTAGAAATCAATATATCCCAGGAGTACAATCTTTTTCAAGACTGATTCTCTAAATTGAGTAGCTTACTTTATATATTTAAACAGTGATGGAGTTTAGGCATCATTATCCAAAATAGAAGCAAGTTGAATTACTATATTGATAAATAGTCTGGAAACTATAAAATGAAATAAATGGGGAAAATGATATATAGTGAAGAAGGTTTTTTATAATTTATTTTTCCCTATAGGAAGATAATTCAACCACTGGCTTTATCTATCATAAAATATTCCATTAAATGCTTCAAATGTGCTATCCAAAGTTTTATGTGTAAGTCAATAATATGATATAATAAATAACTCTTTGGGAAAAAGCCATTTCATTTATTTTCTTTATATCACTTTAATACTGATAGTATTTTATATTCAACTTTTTTTGAAAAATATTCAAATTTAGTTAAAGATTTAGATACTTAAGAAGTATCTAGTTATAAAATAACTTTTGTTTGAAAGGTTTCCTTATGTATGTAACAATCTCAATATAATGCACTAGCATTATAGTTAGTCCTTGGTCTTAGTCAATTGAGGTGAGAGAGAGGGAGGAGGGTGAATTAATTTAAGTTAAATATCACTAATCTCAATTTTTCTTAAAAACATGGAATAATACAATTTCATGTTCAATCAGGAAAACATATGAAGGTAAAATGATATACTTACAACAACAAAGAAGTTTTTATGTAATTAAAATACAATAACTTAAAAATGGCCTGAAATCATTCCTAGTATACAATTTAATTACAGATAGTTTATATCCTTAAGCTACTAAATAATGGCATGCATTTTAACTAAACTATTAACATTACCTAACAGAGATTCCTGAAGAAAATAAATAATCATTTAAAGAAGAAAAATAATTTCAATAGAAAATATTATGAACATAAAATTCATGGACTACTCAGAGATTAAAAGATGAGTGATGATATTAATTCCACCCTCCCCCTGCTTTAAGAAAATGCTTTAAAAAACTTTTAAATAATTGCAGTAAAACAATTTTGAGAGAGCACATTGCCCTCATTGGAATAGTCAACCCAAAGAAGTTATTAATCCCATAAATTTTTTATCATGTTTTATAAAATAAGCAAAAAACATATAAAACAAAAATTAATCTTAGGACCAAAATGTGGCATTCATAGTACCAAAACAATAAAATAATTAAAACAAAAAGTCACCACAGTTTTGGTACTAAGGAAGAAAAATATCCATAGGAACCAATTATATGTTTTGATTTCTTCTCTTTGGTTTTTTTTCTGTGTTTCTTTCTTCCTTTCTTATCTGGAAAAATATATTTTATGTTCTCGAATTCTTATGGCTGCTTCAAATTGTTGAAACAATGATAATGAATATGTGTTTAAAATTACTGGACTTTTTAAGAGAAGATATATAAATAAGTTTCACTTTCCAGATTTTATTACATTAATAATAATTGACATTACTAAGCCAAATAGACACAGATTTCACAAAATGTTTTCACAATTATTGAACTATTTTATAAATATTTGGCTATCTACACCACTGTAACAAAAATAATTTAAATGCATGACGTTTAAATTATGCCACACACTGTGCTCAGGATATTTTTCTACATTTATACTAATCTTCTCATGTTCCTGTTACATGCATATTATTCTCCCCTTTTCCACTAAAGGAAACTAGAATTCAGAGAAGTTACTTGGCAATTTTTAAAGTTTCACTGTTAGAAAAAGGGGGGAGTATTAGGATTCAACAGCAGGTTTGCCTGATCTCTTTATCTATTAATCACACTATTACTCATTTGTGAAGAAGGTAATGGTGTTTACTTACAGCTAGCCTTTGCTTTCTGACTGAACCAACTAGGCCTTACACCTTTAATTCCTTAATGTTCATGGCAGTCTTAGTTTCCTAAATGTGCTCAGGCATCTAATCCACCTCTTTTCCAACCTGCCCATGCTTGCTCATCTACTCTTGCTTGGTTATTGATTTCTCCAATTCTGAATTTTTATTTGCAAAACTGACCCATTTTGGCTTTCTGGATTTGTTGCTTTCATTCGATATCCTTCTTTAATTATATTTCAATTATTCTCTGTATATATAATAAACTTTTACATTTATCTAGTGAACTGGACAACCTCAATCTCCTAGTAATATATAGTTTCACTTATTTATTTATTTAATGTATACTTAATGAGAATCTACTACATACCAACTGTTATTATAGCCATGGGGGTAAAGTGGTGAAAAATACAGTCTAGGTCCCTATTTTCAAAAACATATGCAGGAATGACAGATAATAAACCAGTAGACAAATCAAGAAAGTATTTTCACATCATAACACTAAATACTATAAAGAATTCTAAGTAAGACCATGAGATAGTAGAGAACAATGGGGTTTTCAGGGCACTACCCCTGAAAACATGGTCAGGGAGGGTCTTTTTGAGAAAATAACATTTGGGTAGAAAAATCTGATGGTTACCGTGCTTGAAAAATAGAGCATGAGGAAGAGAGAGATGAGGAGAGGTCTCAGGTCTAGAGATCCGAGCCAGCATCAGACCATTGAGATAGGCCTTATAAACCACAGGAAGAGGTTTGTTTAGATTTTATTTTAAGTGGCCAGTTCTAGGTTTCAATACGAAGAGTGAATATGATCTGACTCAAGTTTTAAGAAGATCTACGTGGATGATGGACCATAGGAGTATTGTAGGAGAAAAAGTGATGGTGACTTGGTCCAGGGACACTGGAGAGAGGTGAGGGAAGAGTTAGATGTGGCATGTCTTCCAGAGTAATAACCTGCTGTGACTTGCTGACAGACGGGACTGGCAGCTAAAGGGAGGAAAAGACTCATGCTTTAAGGCTACGAAATGAAGAGCAAGTTCTTTCACGGCATGGTACCACTGGTGTGTTTCAGCCTGTCTTTGGTAAGCTTACTGAGAAACTGACAAGGAAGCAGGGACTCACTGCTCTCATGGCTTTTCTATCCAATTTTATTCAATGCTCTTCCTTGTAGGAAAGAGTAACACTCATTTTTAAATGGAATATTTTGATATTATTTGAAGTCATACACAAAGTTAAATATATCAAATTTTGGAATATATTTAAATTTTGGCAAAATTTCATATTTTGCTTATTACATATCATAACCTCAAATGTCATTTAAGTATATTTCAAATCTTAAATCATACATCACCATAATAAACCAATATTTAACAACATTATGCAATAACTTTCTTAATTTTTACAAATGTATTAATTGGTTGGGAAAGTGACATTGTTAATCTCTGCTCTCATACAACCGTAATTGATTTCATTTATCCACCACTATGTCAAACTACAATCAGAAACAATTAAAAAGTGCTAAAAAATGTAATTATAGATATTTAACATTTACTCTAGGAAATATTTTCTGTTCTCTGTAACCAAAAGTGGTGACTCCCACCTGTGATTAAATATTGGTCATATTTTTTTAACAAAATTTTTCATATCATCTTATAGAGTATTAAAATTATTTATATATGTAAATTAGATTATTAATAGCTTCCAGGCAGAGACTAAGTAATATTCATCTATCTCATGATTGTGAACACTGTATAAGACATTTAATAATCATTCAATATGTGTGTTGGGTAAGTGAATGAATGAATTCTACAACTATTCAAACTGCAGCTATCTGTATTAATTGACCCTTTTGTGATTTATATAGATTTATGCACAAAAACACACAGGTACAAATATTTTCAAAGAGCCATACCTCCCAGAGTAGCAGATAGCAAGAAATGTGTCCCATATTTCTTGATAAGGTTTTCTGTGATTTGCTGAAGGGTGGGTCGACGTCCCAAAAGTCTTATGTTGCGGAAGAATTCAGGGGCAAGAGGCAGAGGGGAGCCAAGGAAATTTCTTCTCTCAACTGCAAGGTTATTTACTTTCCAGCGGCCAAACTCCCTGAAAAGCAAATTTATTTTTATTCATAAATGCATAATCTATCTGAATGCTTTCATTTGAAAAGTTCACTTGGTAGTTTAGCTGGGGTCACTATATTACAATGCCTCCTGCTTGTAATAATATGTCATGTGCTATGAGTAGGAGAAGCAATATTTATAATTTATTTAACTGGAGTGAATACTCTAAAACCAAGTCATGTAGAGAAAAAATTAGCCACTTAAAGTGAACAGCTTCCACTGATTTTTTCCAAGGAAAGATGTATTCATAAAAAAGGATTTCATTATACACAGAATATGAATGTAGAGTTATAAAGAAAAACTAGGGTAATATGTTATCATTTTCTAAGGAAAATTGAAAAAAGAGAATAGATTTATTTTCATCACACTGATGATTCCTCTCTATTCACTTTATATTGGAAACTTACAATACCTCAGGGATATTATGGAGCTGCAGAAGAAATTTAAAAACATGATCAAAGAGAAATTGTTTTTTGGGTTTTGTCCTTTATGATAATCATTGTTTATAACATATTTGGAAACCCATATTCTACTTGATTAGCAATTTCTCAATATGTAAAATGACTACAGATGGATTTGGTCAAATTAGAAAAATGACTGATATGGATATAAATGATTTGTACATTTTTCAAAAAAAGGATTTATACATTTATATTGAGTTCAAATCAACCTAATAATACTTTAGAAAAGAAATCCTGTGAACTAGATTGCCTGATATCAACTATTCAGATTTTTTTCGAAAGAGTTGTCTCATAAGAAACGTCAAATAGCTCTCACAAAGAGACCACATTTTACTAAACTTAATATGCCCAGGTGTGTTAGTAACTCAATTAATATTTATCAAATAAAATGCTGATTAATACTTGGATGCATACGTGCCACATTTATTTATATCTGTGCCCTCTCAAAAGGCTTGCAACCTGCTAGGCGCAGGGCATGACAAGGGACACATCAGGGACACATCCGTGAACAAGACTCATACTGTTCATTTCCAAATGCAGTTCACCTTCTAGAGAAAGCTTTAAGAATAAATAAAACAAATAAAGATTTAAAATTAAATTAAGAAAAAAATCAAGATTCTTATAAATCCTGAGAGCTTTACAGACAGCCTGCCCTCATGGGCAAAAGAACTATGGGCAAGGTAGCCCTATATTTATATTGCATGGCCAGGAAGGGCAAATCTGCAGAGGCAACATTTAGGCAATATGTGAAGAATAAAAAAGTTACAAGATGGAGAGAAGAAGGGAAAAGATTTACACAGAAAAATGAGGAACAGAGACTGGATTTATTATAATGTTTCCTCAAAAGAGGGTAAGAATGTCTTGGTTACATCAAATATTTTCAAATCTAGGTTTTCAAATCTAGGTTTATATCAGATATTTTTTCAAATCTAGGTTTTCAAATCTTTTCAAATCTAGGTTTACATCAGATATTTTTTGTGTCATTCCTTTCTAAAAGAAATTTACCTGAATTTGTACCTGAATCATATATTTGTATCTGAATCATTATTTGTACCTGAATCATTATTTGTACCTGAATCATATATCTATTATATGAGTTTATAATTTTATCACTGGTGGGTAACATATAACTTGACCCTAAAATTGTGGCTAATTTTTTTCCAATGGTTTAAAGTGCTAAATTAGTTAAATCAAATGTATGTATACATAGATTAATATGCAAGATATTGAATTAATTGGACTTAAAAAACCAAGATGATTGATTGATTTAATGGTGATATTTTATATCCATTTTAAAAATCAGTTTATAATGCTTTATAGCACTGATTAGAGAATAAGCTATTCCAAGAAAATTTATTGTCTACTATTTATTGTTTATTATAATTATTTCATATGTTGCTAGCAATATAGATGAATACAAGAAGACTTCAGACCTCAAAGGCTCTACGATTATACTGAGATAAACTGTGAACAAATAAATAACAACTCAAAGGCTTTAAACTGTGTTTCTGTTAAAGTAGAAGTGTGGAGTAGTTTAGCACAACTCCTCTATCCAATTTATCATTGTTCTTCGATATGAATGTTCCTAATTTAGCTCACCTTGGGTATGCTTTCTCTGAAGAGCCTAAGAGAGTAGACAACCTTCCAAGGAGCTTTCTTCAGCTAGACGGTGCTTTTTCCTCCCTTGTTTTGTTAAATTCAGTTAAATTTATAGTCTCATTTCACTTTCTAATATTTCAGATGAACAAAACACTTTGCCACCCCATCTGATCAATTTATTTTCTGTGTCATACAACAACCATAAGGAAAGAACAAATTCTTTGGAGGCATCACCAAACTAAAACTAATTGACTAACTAAATAAATCCAATACTGTTTACAGCTACAGAAAATTATTTTCTTAATTTTTAAGAGCTTTCTCTAAATTTCTTTTCCTAGATTTTTCCTCATATTTTTATAGAAACAATAAAGGAAAATATTATATGTTCTATTGTGTATAGCAAACAAGTTTAGTTTGTGTAGAAAACATAAATGTTGAGTTGAAACTTTAGAGGCCTGTCATTTCCACTCAACCAGACTTGGTGTGTATTGTTAATGATACAGGAATAGTTGTAATCTCTATAAATTCCTTGTTGAAAATCCAGGTAAAACATACTGAAATAATCCTAATAAATGGTAATAAGGGCACTTTAAATAAAGGAAATAATCTCTGGAGAACCACAGTGTGAATGGTAGATATGAATACAGAGGGGAAAACATGGCGGATTAGTGCTGACCTCCTGGCTCTCTGCTCCCAGAGTGGGAGGTGAAGAACACAGACAGCCGTACTGTGGATCCCTCTCCTACAGGAACAGCCTCGTGAATCTGCAGAGAGGCAGCATGGGACAAGCAGCTGGGAAAGTAAAAGGTGAATTGGAGAATCCACCGCTAAGTTCAGAGTGTGAGATACACTATAGGGAACAGAGTGTGGGATGGCCATGCCCGTGGGCAGCTGGGGCAGTGCAGTCTGACCCACAGGAGGATGACTTTTCCTCAATCGACCTCCACATCCATGCAGGCCAGGAAGTGCCCGAAGTCAGTGTGAAGTTGTGGCACGGGATGACAGGCTATGTGGAGAAGACACAAAGGCGGGGAACATTTTGAATTCTCTGCTGTGCTAGGTCTACACTGGGTGAGGGAGGGTTAGGCCTGAGCGGACATTTCCTGGGTCCATGGGAGGGAGTTTGAAGACTGGCATCTTGCCTCTGGCAGCTGCCAGGACAAAATCAAGGGAGCTGAACACCGAGGTGGAGACTCTGCCCTGGGAAACTGCCAAAGATTCAGCCGGCGCAGGGTGGGATAGAGAGTGCAGGGCTCCCTACTAGACTGGCATGAGTCAATGCCTCAGGGGAGCTTGTGATTCACATTGTGGTTCACCAGTGGCTCCTTGAGACAGCCTGCCAAGCACAGCATACTCTGGCCCCACCAGCAGTCCCCTCCAGTGCTGGCTCTCTGTGGAGGACAGCTGCCATATTGGGGGTCCACAGACGAAAAATGCTGTGCCATGTTGCTGAACTAGGCACCACCCCTTCTCAGGCCCAGCAGGGCAAGCCCAGGCAATGGAATCAGGCAGTGCCATTGCCCCCACCAGGAAAAGCAGGCCCAGCCTTTGGAGGAAGGGAGTAATGAGAGAAGCTACTTTCTGAACAATTTTGCCTTTTCCCACCTGCAGGTCAAACCCTTTCCATGAAGGGGCAGAGTAACAAGAGAAGCCACTTTCTGGGCTGAGATGCCCCACGGCCTTGGAGGAGCTTTTCCCCCATCCTGGCCACTTCTACCTCATGCCAACCAAACTCTGCCTTTGGAGGGATGGAGTAATGAGAGAAGTTGCTTTCTTGGCTTAGACCTGCAGTGGCCTTGGGCAGCACTTCCTTACCCTCCCCAACCTTACCAGGCTACTTGTATTTAACACCAACGAGACAAATGCTGCCCTTTAGGGTGGAGTAAAGAGAGAAGCAGCTTTCTGGGCTGGGGCCGCAGTGGCCTCTGGCAATACCTCTCCCCCAGTTCTGCATCTTGACTGGCTTGACTTCCCCTATGGCAGGGCAGACCCCACCCTTGAAGGAGAGGAGAAATGAGAGAAGACATTTTGTGGGCTGGAAAACATGGAGGTCTCAGGCAACACCCCTCCCCCAGCCCGGCAGGGCAGACTGCACCCTTGGAGGCAGAGAAAAAGGAGAAAATTCAATTTTTCTGTGTGACTGGGGTGAATCCGTGGGAGCTTGAGACCTAGCAAAAGGGGACAGACTTTAATTGGACCAGTGGATTGGTTTTGATCATCTGATAAGAACATAATACTAGGTCTCACCTTTGGCAATCAGGCTGCTACCAGCTTTGGGGCTTGTGGTCCAGGAAGGAAAATCTTGGCCAGAGTCCCTAACAATCGCATCAATTGACATCCCCTACCTGAAGCTGTCTTGCAAGTGTGGCAAAACAACCCTAAAAAACATATTAGCAGCTCTCCCCTAGCAGTAGATCAAGCAACCACAGGAAGTATGTGCTCTCAGGATCACAGGTACCCGTTGCTCTTCTTACCCCACCTAAAGCAGCAACAGGGCTTAAGTAACCCTTGGGAGCGACAAGATATTTCCCAAAGACTGGAACACTGGTATACCCCATTTGGAGGTTTAGAGCCTAATACAAAGGTATTGGAATACCTTGATAATAGACTTCACCATACAAACAGCAAGCAACAAAAGAGAGGTAACCCATAGCCCACCACAGTGCCTCCATCTTAAACTAGTGGAGGGAAGCAGAATCACTTACACAGGAGTGACTCACCACCTGGGAGACTAAGCAAGGGGTCTAAACTCACTAATCTCTCTTGGTAAGAGATGAAGACAACAGGTCAAAGACAACCCAACAGGCTAAAACATGTCTAAGGTAATACAGGACCAGAGTGCATCCTCCCAACACTGTCAAGAAATGTCCCTTTGTGGACTTGGAGTTAAAGTCATAAACCAACCCCAGAACCCCCAGGTCTT